TGTGTGTCTTGATGTGTGCCTTGATGTGTGTCTTGATGTGTGTCTTGGTGTGACTTGATGAGTGTCTTGAAGTGTATCTTGATCAGCATTTGATTCAGGATCAATACTCATCCACCATGACCAGTAGACCAGTATAATGTGAGAATTAAAAGCTAAATTTCTCATGTGAAGAGTGAAACTGAAGAACATTTTTACTAACCATTTCGTCATCAGTAGGGGATGTTAGCGCTTCAATTTCATCCACTGACTTGACCAAATTCGTTGTATTAATATTTGAAGGGTCTTCCTTTATAATAAATTCCTATTATTATAATGAATGCAATAATTAAAAAAAATAAAGAAAATTAATGGAATCATCATTCCTATTCCAGTAAAGGGTCTGATATGGGAAGCTTTAACACATATTACATGCAATACCTGTGGGGAAGTTTCAGTTGGGTTCTCTATTTTGGTACGTTTTGTGTCTGGTCCCAATGGCGTGCTTGGGCGTTTAACTCCTTGTCTTTTCTCATCTGGCTGAACTTTTGCTGGTGCAGCAGTGCTTGTGATCTCTTGTGTGTTACATGTAATAGGTGCTAGTGATATCACTTCACCTTGGCTTTCTTTTATGATAGAGGGTTTGGATATCTGGGCATCATTGTTTATGGATGCTTTGTGCTCATGATCATCAGTTAACATTTTCTCATCTAAATGTAGAAGTTAAAAGAAAGAATGACTGTATCAAAGGGAATGAATCATGTACACTACTCCATATCACTGTCACAGTGGTTATGTGTGTAATCCCCAGACTAAGCTATAACATAACAATGAAGTTGTTTGCTGGTTCTTTTCTGTGTTCTGCAAATGATTTATTCTGGATTCTTCAGTTATATTTTGGTTTCTGGAATTAATTGAGTGTAATTAAACTTGATGAGAGTAGAGTGACCAAATAATCTACCTTAACCTTAACCTAACCCTTTTAAATGAATTCTGAGTCGCACTGATGAGAGTGGAGCGACCTAATGTCAGTAATTCAAGTATTGCATTCTGACATTTCATAAACCCTTCCTGTTGATAAATAGGAGGAAGCAATGCAGCACATTTGAACATTTTAAGGGGAAAGTTTGTGACAAAATACCTATGATGTCTTTGACATTTGGCAATTCTTCTTTGCCCTCTGGTATACTTTCAGTGCTGATTTCAAGACTTGAGCTTTCATTCAGAATGTTTTCATTTTTTACAACATTTGGCTTGTCATCACCCACCTAAAAAGTCACAAGCATTGTACAAAGTCAGATTTTGAATTGAATAAGTGCATTTAGAAAGTACTGTTAGTTGTGTTAACCACACAACACAACAATGACCTCCTCTCAACTTCCAATCTGAAGAAGTGAATCACTAAAGGTAGTAAGTACATATTATGGAATTGCTTGATTTCACTCAGCTGATAAAAGTCTGTGAATCTCGTTGTCTGCTGCAAATGGTGGTCAAACACTGACCACCAAGTGCTGTCAACCAGAAAGGATTCCATTAAAAACTTGTGATTCAGCTGGTGAATATTCCCCACTAGACAGGAAATGATGTCTAGTAAAACCCCAGCAATAAAATGGTCTTACCACACCACTCTTTTTCTTCATTTTGAAAACCCCAGGAGGTAAGTACTTGTTTAGTTGCTTTCTGAGGAAAGAAAAAACACAGAAATACACTTTAACTTAGCTCAGCAACTTAGAGTTTTGAATGAACAAAAACTAACCTTCTGACATGTTTAGCTTCAATGGTCATTCCATCTTTGATCAACTTAGTACTGATTGCTTGATTGTGAACTAAATCATCAGAAACCAGAGGCAATATTAACTGAATGTTGTAAAGAATATTCATAACTATTATCACAAAACATTTATTCATAATTAGCCCCTCGCACTTCAAATATTACAGAATCACTTAAAGTTAAAGACCTTGTTACATGTTGAGGTTTTTAGCTGAAACTAATGTGCAACAGCGTTGTGAGAAGTTTTCACGGCAGTGTTACACGACACAATATTTTTTGAAACCGTTATCCCCTGTTGATGATGTTGCCTGCTTGCTGGGAAAGTTGGGCTCTGATTGGATTGTTCACTACTAGGATATGTTGAAGAAATCAATAAATTCGTCCAAAACTCAAAAAACCTGACCTCAATAAAGATCTGCTGAAAAACTACAGACCTCTAGCCAACATCCTATCTTTGGCCAAAGTAATTGAGAAAGCTGTTACCATGCAGACGTATACCTATCTGAACAATTCCAATCTATTTCCCACTTTTCAATCAGCATATAGACGATTCCACTCTACTGAAACTGCTCTTCTACCAATAACTAATAACTATTAACACTCGACGCATAATTGGTGTTATTGGATCTGTCGGCAGCCTTCAACACACTCGACCACAAAATACTACTAAAACGTTTGGAAACCAATTATTTTGATTTTACTGGAACTGTCTTGGAATGGTACTCATCATATCTTACAGTAAGAACACAATCAGTCATGATCCAGTCATCATCATCATCTCCAAGACACATCGACTTCAGAGTCCCACAAGGATCTATATTAGGATATTATTATTGTTTATCCTATGCATAGCTCCTCTTCAAGATGTAATATCTTCATTCAACGTAAACTACATGTTCTATGCCGACGACAACCAACTGTATATATCAGTGAACCCTAATGACAACATGCAAACATCACGAAATACTCTCCAGGACTGTATACAATCTGTTTTTAAATGGAATACACAAAATATGCTCTGCACTAATATTTGATGAAGACTAAGATGGGTGTTACATGATGCAATTTCATCCTGAAACTTGCTTGCAACACTAGTTTTGGTTGCATGAGTAGAAAACAGTACTTTTCATAAAAGTTTCTTATAACAAAAGTTTCACAAAGCTTGGGGTGTTACACAGTACAATTAGTTCTGAACCTTGTTTCGCTTTTGCACATAAGTTTCAACTAAAAGTTTCAACATGTACAGGGCCTTAAAGTGGCTCTTCTAATAGCTTTTTTTATCCAGGTTTCCAAGAAAATGAAATTTTAGGATTATATTAATATATTCAAGAGTCATGTTTCAAATATTTTTCATTTATGCTTCATACTAGCTGATATATCCAGAAACGTTTTTGATGCTGGATTGTTATTTTTCGTAATTTTCAGTAGAAAGACCATTTCAAAATTTGATACTGCAAATAAACACAAAATCTATGTATATTCCATTAAATCAATACCTGTATTTGTAAACATCTGTATCTCACTTGTAAGGTCAATGTTTACATTCTCTATTATCAGACAATACAAAAAAATGTTTGGTAGTCAAAAGGGTTAGTTAAACTAATGATGTAGATGCATAACAGAATATTATTAGCAGCATCATTTACTTTTGCTTCATTTTGAGGAAATTATACTAGCTGAACGCAGGCTACTTTTAGATGACTCAAGAAAACATCAAACTTACCTGTTTTTTTAAACAAAAGTCCAATAAACCATCTAGTAACAAACTTGTCCCTAGAACAAAAACTACAAATTAGTCATAAATCTACTAGAACATGAATAGAAGCACTAATATCTATATTATGTGTTTCTAAGCCAGGAGCCCCTCAAAACACTGGAAACCACATTTCTGAGGCTCTAAATTTCAAGCTCCCTACATGCTCCCGCCTTTGGCTGTCATTATCCTTACCCCTCCCCCTCACAAATCCCTGAACAATCATATACATGTATCTTAACTGAAAGAAAATATCTATTTCCTTGTTTTCAAGACCAAGAGAAAAGCTATTAATATATCATTTCCTAGGTTCATAAATATTTTAGGGTTTCTGGATATACATATGTTTAAGGACAGGTCTTATTTCAGTTTTGTTGGGGAGTTATTTATAGAGGGTCATAATATTTTTGGCCAAGCCCAAGGGGAGGGACAGGAAATTTTATTCCAATTGCTATGGAGGTCACATAATTTTTAGCACTCAATTTTAAATCTCCACCCACCTCCCCCCACTAATTCCTGACAAGTCCTTTCTTGAGTGTGCTCTATAAAAATGCACTTTACACTAATAAGTCAGTAAATAAAGTTTACTTCTCTGATTCCAAGGGGCCATAACTCGTAGAGTTTACATGAGCCAAAGTGATGTAAGCATTATTTTCCAAGCTTAATACCAAAGTTCTAACTTTTGATTCCACCAAACCAATCCTGCAAGTTTCACAAGATTAAAACATGGCATAATATAAATATTTTGGATGACATATAAGTAAGCAGAATGTCAGTGTTAAAAGACAAACTATAAATACAAAATACAGAGGTACCTCTTTTATAAGCAAACCCTTTATTAAGCAACAACCTATAAAGTGGACACATCTAGCTCAAGTACTGAAGCTTTTCCCCCATATTTACTGGAAAACGAACCTTTATTACGCGGACAACTATATTAAGCAGATTCCTGCAAACACTAAAGTATTGCAAAAATACCAATATTGGGCAAATCAAGCAAACCACTGTTAAGGCTCTATTAAGCGAACATCAGACAAGCACCAGTGGTGTGAGCTGCTAATGTGCTGCCTCTCACCAATGYGCCCCAAGTCCTGCCCACCTCGATGTCGTATGGGAGTAGAGTTGTTTGTTGGTTCTCTCCTGTGCTTCGAGGGTTTTTCTGCGGATTCTCCAGTTTTCCTCCCTCCTCAAAAATCAATTGCTAAATTCTAATTTGATCTTTGGGCTTTCACCTAGTTTGGAGCCTAGCTCTGTTGTGATTGTCCCACGCTGTGATAAAACAGCCAAAGCTAGTAGATTAGACATGGTTTCAAGGGTAACCACTATAAACATGTAGCCACTATAAAGTACATTTTTTATTCTATGTTAATATTACCATTCCAAAAGATTATCTTGACTTGCAGCAAAGGCACTAAGTACTATATAATGTCTGAAAGCAAGAAAAAATCCTGGAATCATTAATTGGTAAAATCTGAAAATACACATCACATGGTTAGAAAAAGAATTCTGTATTTGAAAAAGCACTAATACTTTCAATGGTTTGCAAGTGTTGTTTATGCAAACAATCTTTGATAAAAACTTACTTGTATCTTGAAAAGAAATTAAAAGGTACAAAAAGTATATCCCAGTTTGCTTTACCATTTTGAACATCTTCAGAGTTTTTAAATCCTGCAATAGCATAACAGATTCAAACATGGTTACTGTTACTTCAATAGCTTTTGTTTCATCTAGCTGCCTTTAGTCCGGTTTTAGCAAAAATCACTACATACCTATAAAAAATTCCTCTTGCATAATTTGTCGTGTAGACATGGAAACATTAAAAGTAGAGTTCTGTTGTGGATATGCTGGTGTTATAATTGGCATAAGGTGATAGCGGTCTGAGGTGTTAAGCTGAAATTCAAATGATCCATTGTGAATACTTTTCTCATTCATGGTATTTAGGGGGAATCATATTCTAAGTAGTTGGGTAATAATATCACACTAACCCTTTGACTCCTGCCATTTTTCAGTTTTTTATAGTGCTTTTCTGGACCTAAATGTTTTGCAAATCCTAGCAAAACCATTTTTGGAGTTCCGATGGAAACAGTCAGTGTTTTATGCAAATAAGACAGATGACATTTCTTGTACCAATTAATTACATTTAAGAGATTTTGGGCATGATAATCCTGTGAGCTATTGTAAATAGATTGACACCAAGGGATATTTTGGGATTTTTGTTTTTCCAAAAATGTTTAAAGGATATTTTGTTAGAATTTTAGACATTTCTCCAGGTTTTTAATGGGCTAAATGTAATTTATTCAAGGTCAAACGTGAGGCTAGCTGGTAAGGGTCTGATTTGCGGTCTTGCTTAGTACTATAATTGCAAGGGCCCCAGAATATGCTTGCAGGAGCCAAACGTTTGCCTTACATTTGGTCGCTTGCAATTGCTTGCTTGTTTGTGCTTGTTTTGCTTGGTTTTGCAAGTTTGTTGGTCCGTCCCTCCTCTCCCTGGTCAGTATTAAGTCGAATATATATATATATACTGTATATTTGTTTGAGAAGAAAAAGTCAAGACAACATTTTTCCCGACAAGCCTGTTTCGTGAATTGCTTCACTCTTCAGGGGATTCAGGGAAAATCCCCTGAAGAGTGAAGCAATTCACGAAACAGGCTTGTCAGGAAAAATGTTGTCTTGACTTTTTCTTCTCAAACAAATATTCTGCTCTACTTCTATCGATGTATTGAGCACTATTTTACGGAAAATTGATTCACAGATTTCTTATATACTGTATATAATATATTTTCTACTGACTAGTATCAGTATGACAGGTGTCAGGTGGGTTAGAGGCAGGGTTACCATGGTTTCCTCCTTGCAACAAGGGAGTAGTGCATCCCTCAGGTGGCATTAAGACATTGAAGCCCATTCTCAACAACGCCAAAAGGTTAAATGATTTCCAGCAAACTTGCTCAAAATTGTTGAATCTGGGATTTTTCAAACATTTTCTTACAGGCAGTGTTGGGCATCAGAGTCAAAGGGTTAACATGAAAAGTTCTTATAAAATATAACACGATAAAACAACCCTCAAATAAAGGCTACAGCATGACACAGTATTGTTACTAAAACTTATTCACAATACTTACTCTAGGATCCCAAACTTGAAAGCCTAGCCTGTTTTCATGCGGTAAAGGAATTTGTTTCAGCAAAACAGGATTTGGCCATTCCCTAATATTAAAAGATGAGTAATTGATAAGCAAAGGCAATATGCAATAAACAGTTTCTATAAGTTTTGGAGATTGCACAAACATACTCACCATCGAGAAAATACAAGAAAAAATTTCAAAAGTAAAGTAGATGCGACAGCATTGGGATAAAGTTGACATGTTCTAGCAACAAGCATGGCCCAAGATACGCCTCCTAAAAATCCCAATACATTGGAATAGATACCTCTTTCTAAGAAAAAGAAAGAAAGAAAACAGAAAGAAATATGTTAGTTTTGACAAAAACATTAATGAAACATGGATTCAATAAAAATTCTGATTTTACGCCAAAGTAATTTCACATGATTTGATTGCTCAATATGCAGTCCATAACCTACAGTATCGACGAAAAAGGAAAACAACATCAAGTCTGAACTTATCTGAATGAATTCTGTGAAGAAGCCAGTGTGGTTTCTTTATTTGACTTTTAAAACACTTTTCCAATCTGTTCTTGTATTTCCATAGTTCATAAAATTTCAATCTCACTCAAATTTAAATGCATTTATGGACAGGCACTGAATTGAAAGAGTTTCTTTATTCATTGTGCATTATGAACACAAGGGCGTATCCAGAATTTTTTTGAAGGGGGGTCCAAAACCTACACTCAATTAGTGACATCATTGTTGACGTCATACATACACTATACCCATCATAACACATACACATATGTTGCTAGTGGTATAACGGTATCCGGTCTTTTCGCTACCTTGCACTTTCGCTACTTACCTAAAAGGTCGATTCGCTACTTAATAGAAGTCGATTAGCTACTAATAGAAGTCGATTCGCTACCTTATCTCAAAATGTTAAATATCACAATATCAGGAATATATATTACGTATATATTAATTTTGAGTCTATATCGATAAATTTAAATTGTGTTTTACGGCATTGAAACTGGTCAGATGTCGATCGAGAAATCTAAACATAGAGAAGAGAGGATATTTACGTCTCCTCATTTACGTGCGAGTTAACGACGACTAATAAAATTTTGCGTTCAATGAAGAACTTTTCTGACAAATAAAAAGATTTAGTTACAAAGAAGAAATCTAGTCGAGTTTTTCAGAGTTATTTTGGCTTGCTCCATAGCAAAGTAGCGATTGGACTCTTGGCGTTGTGTTACAACAAGCAAATCAAAAGCTATGAGGAAYGAAGGCTTATTTTTATCCCCACTTTTGCTCGATGACTAAAAGTTTGACTTCAAAATAAAAGGGTTTATGTCAAGGAAGAATTTTAGCTACAAAACAAGCAATCTAGTGGAGCTTTTTTTTGAGTTTTTTTAGCTTCGTAGTAAAGTAGTGAATGGACTCCAGGCGTGAGGCGTTGTGTGAGGTGTTTAACAAACAAATTGATTTGTTTGTTGTAACACAACGCCATAAGTCGGTTTGCTATTTTACAATTATTAATAAAATAACTCCACTAGATTGCTTTTTTCGTAACTAAAATTCTTCCTTGACATGAATATCCTTCAAAAAATTTTCTAAGAAAAGAGTGAAATCAAGAAACCTGTTCGATATAAGAGATTACAAGACAGATATTCGGCCGACTTGTCCATTACGCCAAATACGCTTTGAAATTTCTTTCTTCAAAAAACATTCAAATAATAACAAATTACTTAGAATTACTGATAATAAACGATCCAAAATGTTATAGAGGAGGTTTACAGGCATCTTGGGATAAAGTAGCAATTGTGCTACCTCAAGGTAGCGAATCGACTTCTATTAAGTAGCGAATGTGCAGTAGCGAAAGTGCAAGGTAGCGAAAAGACCGTAATTCGGTATAACAGACATGAGTGACATCATTGTTGACGTCATACGCACACTATACCCGTCATATCACATACATATGTRTTGCTACTGGTATGAAAGATAGCTCTTTTAATTATTCTCCTTTTGCTTTTGAGACAAATATTTTGCATATTTTGTTGACATTTATATTAATGCCACTGTGCATATATATATCTTATGTTAAAAAAGGGGAAAACAATTATGAGTTGTAAAGTGCGAGGAGGGGGAAAACCCCTGGACCCCTCCCCTGGATCCACCCTTGGGCCTGCATGCTTGAAACAGTCCAAAGGTACAGCACGGTAAGTTATCAATCCTCATTGCCCCCACTTTCTTATGGCCCACGTGCTACACTCTACATGTCTAAATATTATGAGGCCATGGAAAAAACTAGGTCCTTAACTTACGCTACGGACCTCTCACTCAGTTAAAAAGAACAATATTTATTTTTCTACTTACTCTTGGCCCAAAGTTTAACTGCCCTTAGAGTGAGTCTAAAATTCTCTATGTTTGGGACTTGTCTTAAGATCTCATCTGTTACCCTACAACCTTTGTTCAACACAAAAAGCACAACTTGTCAGCAGTTGATCATCATTTGGTATATTTTTGTGCTGTACAATAAACTTAGTAGTTTTACCATTTAAACTCCTGACACACTTTGGGTCCAAATTCTTCAGCAGATTTTCATCAAGTAGATCTAAGTTATCTGGTATTTCTGGTAAAGCCAAACGAGCAAAGAGAAGATCAACCTTATAACAGAAATAAAAAACAGCATTCACATTGTTGAAGTGTGTTTTTGTCACTCGGTACAGATCTATATGTAAAATTATTGTATGCTACATTGTTACTGTTAAATTACATTAACACACATAAGATGCTTATTCAGTATTCAAAGTTGACAGATCTAGTTTTACTTTTTATTTATTTTAGTAGCCCCATTAAAAATATTATGCCATGCATTCGATGCGATCACAGCCTACTATTTGTTGCTATTGACAGGCATGACTTGGATAAAGACCTTCTTTCCTATCATAATATATGTACAAAAGCCTTAACTCATTAGGATGATCACATTGGTAATACAATACCTACAATATTAGTCAAAGCCTCAACTCTTCAGGTGTTTGTGTTTGCTTTGACAGTTTACTAGCAGACTGTAAGATCAGTGCACTGGTATTACAATGTTCATAAATTCTAGTCCCATTACTGTGCGACGTGCAGTACTGCTGTCACTTGAACAAATTTTTGATGAATTTTTGACATATTCGTGACATATTTTTGACGCATTTGATGTGTGTAATTTGTCCCRCCTTTGTTTCCAATCAATCTACTGAGTAAGCATAGTGACTATGGTACAGCATGTCTCACAGTAAAAGCCTGGATCTTTTTAGCATAATTTTATTTCAGTTTAATGCCCCAAATAGACTCAAATAAAATATGGTTTATTCTAAGGTATTACAGAATAAAATCTACTATACACACCTCAATGTTGCAAAAAGTGAGTTTAATAACTGGAACAAATGCATTCTCAACTGCCTATGAATTTCATAAACTTAATCATTAGTTTGTACAGTATATAAAATAATTAATATAAAAAATAAAGTGGTTAAAGATGATGACAAATGAACTTTGGGATGATCTACAAGTCAGTATACAGCCAAGATCAGATAAGAAATAGTGAAACCAGGAAACCTAATGGTTAGGGTTAGGGTTACTTAAGTAGTGAATGGACTTCAACTCAGTACATTATTGTGCACTTACTCTTAATTCTTTCACATCTTCATGGTTTTTCAGTAGGTCATAAAATGATGAAAAAAAATCAGCCCTATCAATATGTCGAGGAGCTACGAGAAGAGTGTCAATATCAGCACCTGTTAAAAATGAAAGCAAAATTCAATTTGTGTATCCACAAGTTAAAAACGCACGGGACAATCATACTAAAGTGGGTGTGACTATCATAAGAAAACTTGGGCCTCATCCACAGTTCGAAGATTTTTGTAGCATATACATTTTCAAAATATTAATCAATACACATAATAATTACAGACCGTTTATGAAATAGAAGCTTACCCTTTGTGTGTACTCCAAGACGAAAAGATCCAAACGTAAATATTTTTCCACCAACAGAATGGGCCACATTTTCTGGCATGCTCTGTTTATAAATTGAATGAAAAGAAAGTTTTTGGTGCCTTGATAATGTATAAGGCCTGTCCATATGCCACTCTACTCATGTGCGCGAACCTAATACAATCAGGTTTGACTCTGAATCGTTTTTTGAGCAACTGTTGATTCAAACACCAAACTTTTAAATATGTTAAACTAAATTAGGCACCTCTTGCCAAATGTATACAGGTCTTCTGACAGAATGCGAAAAAACTTCAAATTATGCAGGATTTTTTTCCGGGTTATGCAGAAGGAATGGCAAGTTATACAGGGTGAAATATGGGATAAAGTAATAACAACAACAACAACAAAAAATGCGCTTATAAAGCGCATGTGCCTACTACTTTTTGGAAAGTAATAAACTCTAACTCCATTATTTTTTGTGTGTTTGTACAGCCATTACGCAGCGAGTACCAATAGTGTAATTGTTTTATGGGTTGTATTACTTCATGTTTTTTGTTTCATTGATTAATTTTTTCATATTTGCTGATGTATATTAAACTGGATAAAATCACTGATCTTGTAGACTCTTTTTCACACATAAATTCTCACAAATTTGTCATGTAGTCGGAGTGAAGTATTAGATGAGGAAGCCTTTTTCAGCACAGAATTAAAAGAACAAATATTATTGTAGGAGTAGTGTTTGTAGTCTAGATGGTTTTGCTTTGCTAATATGAATGTTGATATTGAGCACTTATTGGGAAATATTTGGCTGGAGATTATGTTGTACTGACTGAGGGTAGCGATCAGTTGTCCATTAGTAATGTCTCTTCTACTTCATATGTCATTATTTATGGCGATTAACAGGTATAAGACAAGTAATGAAATACTTCATGATCCTTTACATCGGTGTAATTTGGGTTTCCTGTGCTATGCCGATTCATTTTGTGCAACTGTTGCGTGACTGAAACAAAATGGTGGTCATATTTTGAGGAACGTTTTTCTTGTTTTCTCAATGAAAAAGCCACAATGTTCTCTCAGACTTAGAGCAGTTTTTCCTTGAGGTCTCTCATACTTTATATGTGATTCTGTTTAGCGAATAACAGGTATAAGTTATAAAAAAAAATGCTTTGTTTATTTATTTGATAGTTACGCATGACAGAGTTACTTACACAACCCGATGACAATAGTGTCTACTACTTCGTAGTTAAAAAAAGGGTAAGCATACAAATTAATTTGGTCTGGTAGTTTTAATTTTGTATGGCAAACATGTTATTAACAGGGCTTGCCACATCATGTGATAATAGAACAGCAACTAATTAATTAATACATCATTAGGTTCAGCACATGAATAGAGCAGCGTATGGAACAGCCCTTGTTTTGAATACTGGTAAACACATGATACATATTTCAATCCTCATGCAAGAATGGTTAGCTAACCCTGTGAATGTAAATTAAGGTATATTTTACCCAATAATCATGTACCTGTAGATGGCAGCTTACTCAAATAATACATAAAAGTAAATTTTTGAACAACATGTGTACCGTTTGCCATACATATTGCTGGATGCTAGTTTCTAAATACCTTCTGCAGACTAACATCAACTATCCACTGCTTAACAATTTCATTTAACTTGCCAAGAACAACCATTCTGAATAGAAATAAAGAGAGATTATTGATTATTGCAAAGCTTGACACTAACATTTTCAGATACTAAGCAATAAGGTAGTGGTGACTATTGAGCACTTTTCCCCTATTGCAATAGTATTGCAATATTTGTTCTAACAATTGCGATAGCATTGTGATAGTAGACTAGATATTGCGATGGTGGAAACTTGCGATTAATTTAATGTCTATTATAGAAAATAGAAATGCCTTCATTTGTTGCCATGTTTTCCTTCAAGAGCGAGTAGAGGGCCCTGGGGACGAGTTTGGACTGAATTTTATGCTTCCCCCTCCAAGGGAAATCCTTGTTACCAGGCTCTCGCACTTTTAAAGATGGCAAATCGACAGAAGTGTCTTGCGAGATCTTATTCAAGCAGCCGCAATCTGAAGCAACAAAATGAGTAATTTGTGCACCACACATTATCTACTAACAAATTTTTATGTTTGTTATCATTTCAGAGTGAGACAATTGATACAATAGATAGTCAAAGTCAACTATTGCAATAGTTATCAATAATACAATGTTTCCATTAATGCATGGCTATTGTGGCTTTAATATAGCAATATATAAATATTCTGATGCATCGTTATACCCTTACAATGGGGTATTAAATCTATAAATCCATTAGCTCAGAAGAGTAACCTAGATAACTAGAAATCAGTTTCTTTCATGAGGCAAAAATAATGTAACAGGTTTAAAAAATGCAGAAAACTTCATATTTAATATGCTCTTCCCCTCCAATTTTAAGAAATGATAATTAGTGGTCTTCTTGCTCCATTTAGCAAAAACTTTGGAAAAGTTGTTTGATATTTCACTTATTTGCAAATTCAGCTGCCTGTGACTATCCCTAACCCTAAGTCTTGTCACTGAACATTAACATCAATCTTTGTTTGATCTCTCGTATCATCTCACGAGTGCCCCCACAAATATCTAAAACTGCTTTTAAAATGTTTTTATAAAGCTTAAGGCTGGTGGGAATAGTTCGCAACCCATTTTTATTTAAATGAAATTGTGTCATTTATTTAGAGTACACAAGGGGCTCTCTAAAAACGTGAAAAAATTTGGGGGTCCCACACATTCAAGCGAGATAATTGTCATTAAAGACCCGATGATGTGAGCGCATTTTGAAGCACTTTAAAAAATCGCATATCCCTTGTGTTTGGCTTAAGTGCATTGAAATTTTTTCTAAGTCCCTGTCCACACTATGCCGGATGAATTTGAATCCGAAATTTTCACCAAAAAACTAGAAAAAAAAAGTTTTCCATCCACACATGAAAACGGATAAAATGTTGCACGTCCACACTAGTCCGATCATAGGCAGCAAAAACGCTTCATTGCACATCTAAGCACGTGCATCGTAGCTGAAATTGAGCCCGAGGTGAATTTTTAGCCTTTCCGCCATGTTTTCATAACAAACATGATGTCATTGTATTCGAAAATTCCGGATACGAAATGTTATCTGTCCACACTAATACGGCTGGCCGGCATTTTCAAATTGTCCCACTCTGGAGAAGGTATTTGAAAAAATTCATTTYGGTAAAGAATTGTTTGGATTCGCCTGGACTAGTGTGGAGGGTAGGCCTAACCGAATAAATAAAAATTTTGATTCAAATTTATACTACTATTCAATACTACTGATGCGGTTTTGTAGACAGAGAAAACAAGTTTTGATATACTCTCCATCTTGAATTACACAAGAATCTTGACCTGACTTTGATGTGACTTTGACCTGACTAAGACTCGTTACGTCTGAATAAATAAATAATTTTACTTCAGGAACTCTAAATTTGTTTAGAAATGTGTTGAAATGGTTATCTGTTTTTCACTAACCGTTCTGAAGTTCTGATCTCTCCATTATTGATTATGTTCTCCAAATATATTATATTTAAATATCAAAACCAGTGAAGTGGAATTGAACTGGGTTAGTTAAGGGATTCGAAACTTAGCAAACCAGCTCTAATTGATTACCGTGTGAAATTTAACGATATATTCATGTATATGCCTTATTGACCAAAGCCCGAAAGCCATATTTTCATTCAGGCTCTACTAACCCACATGATTAAAGCCAGAATACTGCCGACTGAGTAGCTGTATTAATACTAATAAATATCTGAATTACAGTCTGAGAAATCTTTTTTTACTGCTCAATCATATTACTTCTAAAGCCCGGAATTACATTAGCCGCTAAGTCAATCTATAAGCCATTACTGCAATTCCCAGTCACAAGCGACCAACTAGACCTTCATCACAAACGAAAAATTGAATTTGGGTGGACGTCAATCAAAAGGGTTTCTATCGTTTCTATTGGTTTCTACACCAGGACTGATGTGAATACTCACGTGAACACAGGCAAATGAGCAAAAATCGTTGTCCTTATCTCATGCTTCTTGTCGCTGTGAATTTCTCGCTCTGGATATATTTTCTCAAAAATGTCACAGGGTTCTGGCTCCGAATCTTAATGCTTGATTGCAAAGCTATCGCTATTGCTAAGATTTCAGTTTCTTCAAGATAGGATAAGTCAATACTGATAGTTTGCAGTTAAACGTTTGAAATTCGGAGTCGGAATCCTTTAGACATGTTTAAGAAAGCCTTTTGATTGACGTCCACCAAAACTCAATTTTTCGTTTGTGATTTTGGTCTCACTTGGCTGCGTGTGACTGGGAATTGCAGTAATCTATGAAATCCATACAAGGGTACTCTTGCACAAGAATGCACATTTCGCGAGGAGACTACAAAAAAAACCAAAGGCATTTTACGACTGGGCTGGCACAGGCAACCCAGTAAAAATACAACCCTGTTTAATGAGTTACGTACCGGTGTTGGAGTTCATCTTCTGACTCAAACACGCCATAAGGTTTAAGAGTTTCTTCTAACTTTTTAGACAGTTCAATATCCTAAGGGAAAAACAATTTGAATTCAAGAATCACGAAATTAATTAATATTAGGGTACGAAAATTTTTTATACAAAGAACGAACACGTGGAGAATCAAAACACTAGAAGCACATTGACTTACAACTGGTTTTGGCTTGGCATGACTTATGGCAGAAGTTACGCCATAGGTTCTCTGTGGCTGGTTGCTGACATTCGTTGAGCTGCAATTGTAATACCAACGACAAAGATTTAGACTTTTTGAGCCGAAACAAGAATAAGATTTATGCACGCTATCTCGAGCTATCGGCTGAAAAGCGCGAAAGGCAATCTTGAATAGTGGCGAACAAAGGATAAAAAAGCTTACTTGGACATTGCAAACGATCCAGCAACAATTTCTACTGAAAGATGAGCATTTAAGGCCTTTTATGGCTATCTACATAGCCTTCTTTACAAACACGAGACATAAAACTAAACTCGGTTAAAAAACACAAAACAAAAATGGCGGAAAGTCTGATTTTGAAAAAAGGCGCATGCGCTTGATTTATCTTGCCACAGGAAGCCCAAATATATACTTACACCAAATAAAACAAATAAAATAAATGTTTATATAGCGTTATTATTTACTAATATTGTCCAAAGCCCTTAAAATAATATTATATATATATATA